CTTGAGTCTCAAAATTAATAGTCTTGTCTATTAGAAGTGTTTACAGTTCTGCTTTTGTTGACATTAATTATTTCTCCCATTGCAGTTTAATTAATAGGAGATTGCATCTTACTCATTCCATCTCTCCGGATGTTGCTTCAAAAAACTACCCCTTACCAGCTTTACTCCCAAGAGCAAATTTCTTAGTGACATTGAATTTTAGCAATCAGATATGGTCATTAAATGCAGGGGATCCAGCATTTATGACACAGTTTTATAATTGCATATAATTGTACCATTCATCTTGGTAGAATTTCTAGTGAGCTATAAGTAAACAAATACATTTCAAAATTGGGATTGAAATCTTTTCATGCTACTCCAACATTTAGCAATTTTAATGGCATGGATAGATTTCATACCTGAGAAAGCAGAAATTAGCCCACCACCCATGATCCAGATGATTTTTATCAATTAATTTCCGAGGTTGATCCTTTACAAATGTTTAAAGCCTTCTATAAATAATTTGGGAAAGTACTGAGCAGGAGCTTTGTACCTTTCTTGCTCTTTCACATCATAAAATCAAGTGTAGAAGTGAATTTACAGAAAAATATCTGAAGTAATGGCACTGCAGGCGGTGGCAGCAGGAGGGAAGAGATATCTAGGACTAGCCTTTGGGCTGCGGTTGCTGTTGGCAACTATGTAGTAAGCGCTATCTGCATTTGGGGCAGCATTTTCCTCAGAGGCCCCAGCTCTTGTGACCTTTGCTTCAGCTGGCTCCTAATTGAGGAGAACACTATCAAAGAGAAGTAGGATTTGACAGTACGAAGCTGGGTACAGGAGCCTCTTGCAATTTGTGTATGAAACCTAGGAAGCTTCCCTCAATATGTGATTCGTCAAGAGGATTACAGATCAAATATGTTCTTTTAAACACATTTGGTGCTCAGTCTGATAGCTTTCGAGAATATGGCTGAAGAACTAACTAAGAATCTTCAAATAAAGTACAGTGTAGAATTCCTGAGCAAAAGTTGGAGCACATGTAAATTTTGTTTAAAAATTGCCCTGGCTCTGCTATCATGTGCAATGATATATACAGGACCTAGAAAATTTTTTGCTTTTTGAAGCAGTGAACATCTTTTAATTAAAAGTGGATGTGCAGCACAGGTTATAAATATCTAAGGAGAGGCAATCTAACACACTTGTCTTAATACGTGTCCACCCACATTCATTGGCTAGTCCCTCTCACGAAATGCTCTGTAACAGACTGGGAGTTAGGTATGCAAATGCTAGCTCTTGTGATAATTGGTCCAGATTTTTACTTTACTTTTCTTTTTTTTTTTTTTTTTTAAGATTTTATTTATTTGAGTGAGAGAGAGAGAGAGAGTACAAGCAGGGGTAGGGGCAGAGGGAGAAGAAGACTGCCCGCTGAGCAGGGAGCCCAATGTGGGTTCAATCCCACGATCCTGGGATCATGACCTCAGATGAAGGTAGACATTTAACTGACTGAACGACCCAGGTGTCCCTGGTCCGGATTTTAAATCTCTCTGTGTTTAAAATTAAGGAGATTAATCGGGGGAGAAGATGCTATCTCTTGAGTGTTGTGTGTTCTTTGTAAAAAATGATAGAAAACTACCAAGCAAATGTATGTGCCACGCCTCTAAGAGATTGCCTTCCATCAGACTCTCTAGTAGTTTTGTCTTACCAAGCATCCTTTCAGTAGAAATGTTATTCATAATTTCAAGAGAATGCACAGCTTAAACCTCTGTAGCTTTGTTATTTATGGACCGACTCTGGATACGTGGGTGACAGAGAAACATGCACAAAGACTTAAGTTAGTAAAGATGGCACAGGAAGCCTTGCTGAGGATTTGGGTACATTTGATAGTTTGAGGATTTTTTGTTTTGTTTTACATTCTTACAGAGAAATGAATCAAAATATTTGAAAAACTAATACATAAATGTGAAGTTTCAAAAACCCATAAAATAAAGTCCTGCAATTCCTAAATAATACTTTTGATGCAGACCTTTAGAAGGAATTCTCCTTCTCAGATTTCCATGCGAAGTGTGGCAATTACTGACATTAAACATAGTAATCTGATCTTAAGACAGTTGCACAGTGCAGACCTCAATTTTAGAATTATTTGGAATCTCTGTCATAGAGGCAAAATAAATTTCCATCAAGAAGACCAATTCATTAATTTGAAAGTTAATATTAAAAGGGTGTATGGAGAGATGACTTTTTATGGCAGTCATATTGGATGAATATTTCTTTTTAAGATTTTATTTATTTATTCGTAAGAGACCCAGAAAGAGAGATAGAGAGAGAGAGAGAGAGAGAGAGAGAGAGAGAGAGAGAGGCAGAGACATAGGATAGGCAGAGGGAGAAGGAGGCTCCCTCTGGGGAGCCTGATGCAGGACTTGATCCAGGACCCCAGGATCACAACCTGAGCAAAAGGCAGATGCTCAACCACTAAGCCACTCAGGCATCCCTGAATGGATATTTCTTATATTGGTATTTATGGGAAACTTTCTGAAGATTTTGTATGAAAATTGTGGTTATAAGCTGAACTGTGTAGTCTTGATCTGCCCTGATCTAGATTGGGAGTCATATTTTTTCTTCAGTTTTGCTTTTTATATGCTTAAGCCCTCCTTATCTCTCATTTTCAGACTGTTTCCACTAAGAGTTATGAGAATAGTCAGGGCATGGATGCAATGTCCTTATTTTCCATGGTGGAACCAGGAGACACTGACTAATGTTTAGTATGTAGTAAGGAGGCAGACATTTGACATTGGAATTCTCATAGAATCCACAAGCAAGTTGCCATCATTCTGGGGACAGTGACAGCTTGAATGTAGCAGATAAACAACTAATGTGTTGAGTGTCAAAACTGTTATAACAAATGTTTTTTTTTCCAACATGATCCCTTTGAATTCTAAAAAATTAGACATGAACATTATATATATATATATATATATGTTTCCTTGCCCCTTTGCCAAGGCATGACCTACTCCTGTACTTCTTAAACATTCCCACTAGCAGACAGAGGAGAGTGAATTCCCATACCTGAGAGCCTAGGGTACACCCCAAAACATCCTTCTCATCTATAGTTTTAGTCTCCTGTTTCATCTTAAACCTCATGAACATTTTACCTTCTACTCTCTTTATTTAAATATATAAATAATGACATTTATTAAACATTACATTACTCAATTTCCTCTAGTTAAGTAAGTTTGATGCTCCCAGATGATTACTGTCTTTATCTTGTGACTTTGAGAACTACCTTCCCCCCCTTTTGGTTGACTATGACCTCCTTGAGGGGAAAGGACTGTTTCTTGTTCTATATCCTCCTATCTAGCAGAGTGCTTAGGACAAAGTTGGTATTAATAAATGTGTGCTTGTGTTAAACACATGTCTGTGTACCCCATTAGAGTGTGTGTATGATGTTTGTAAATATTTAACAGACTACTGAATGATACTATGTTTACATTAGGAACATGCATTTTTATTATCTATGTGAAAAATGTACATATTTTTCATTCTTAACCTTTAATTGTTAATTTATTTAGATGTCTGGGCCATACACATATGAGAGTTTGGATACCGTGCTTTATGTGGTCAGCCTCAAATTGTTTACTGATCTGAAATTTTCCTATGGCTGGTACATCTACACATTGTATCTGGCTCCTTTTTGCATATTTTCATGGTTACTTTTTATATCTATTTTTTGACATTCTTTGTGTTTCTCCTATAACTTTAAATTTGATAAATGTACTTATTTCATGATAAATGTACTTATTTTATGCCTGATCCTGTAACTTGCTTCTTTTGGCACATAAGTTCATAGTGGCAGATTGGCTTTTGCATATTTTGATTTTTAATTGTAAATCCATGTTCCCTCAAATTTTATCTGTGGGTTTCTGAGGCCTGGTTTTAAAGTGCATTCTTCCAGAGAGGTTTTGTGTTTTCTTCTTCTGCCAGGTGCCTGGGACAATTTAAAATTGTAATTTGGTTTTTTTCTGAGCCACATAAATGGTGTGAATTCTAGCTTTAGGCCAGTGTAAATTCGGGCTCCTGGTTAGAATTTGCTCTTCTTTTTTTTATCTCCAATTCACCTAGATCCAAATGATATAATGCAGACATGTTTCTTTACTAATTCCCTCTACTTTTTCTCTTTATACCCATGAAGATGTCACTTCATGGGGAGTTCCAAAATCATAAAAGGATCTTTGATGTAATCCCCATGTATACTGGCTAGCTTTGTTTCCTACCTCTGTGTACTTGGGCACCTGCCCCATGATCTAGCTAAAACCAACTTAGCTAGATGAAACTCTCATCAGGCTTGGCAGATGTCACTTCGGCAAGCATGCAGAATGGAGGGGAAGGGGTCACTGATCTGCTTGGCATTTGTTTTTTCATTGATTTTGACCCCTGGAGAATTTCCCTTTCTTCTTTTCCATAAGTGTATGCATTTAAAGATAATATTGAAATACTTTATTTTGCATTTAGGAGAAATTGGAGATCTTTACTCATCTCATTTGTTGGAAATAATAAACTCTTGAATGTTTGCTCTGTGTGAGGCATGCTATTGACCCACGCACTGGAAAACATGACCATCCTTTTCAGTAATGAAAATGGGATACACTTACACTCAACTATCCTTACTCCTTATGTAGAACTCCTGGTGGCTTTTTTTTTTTTTTTTTTTTTTTTTTGTGGTGACTGAAATTCTTGGAGTGTCTGTGCTTTTCTATAATAAAGTGGTATTGGACTTAGCTTATGGATCCTTCCAGTTATAAAATTTTTTGACTCCATAATCTGAACCACTAAATTTCTTTTCTTTTTCTTTTTCCCTCCTATTTTTATCTTTACAGTAATTCTAAAGTCACCAACCCAGTTACCCACGCCTCATTCCAGGAAATTGTTCTGTTTTGTTTTGTTTTCTGTTTTGGCAATCTGTATTTACTGCCTAGTGTTTTGATCTTTCAGAGATCACCCAGAATAAGTGTACTGTGTTCCTCCCACAGGTTGCTTCCCTCGGAGTCACTACCTTCACCTTATGTGCTCTGTGTATAGACCGCTTCCGTGCAGCCACCAACGTGCAGATGTACTATGAAATGATAGAGAACTGTTCTTCGACAACTGCCAAGCTTGCTGTTATATGGGTTGGTGCCCTACTGTTAGCACTTCCAGAAGTTGTTCTCCGCCAGCTGAGCAAGGAGGATTTGGGGTTTAGTGGCAGAGCTCCTGCGGAACGCTGTGTTATTAAGGTTTCCCCTGATTTGCCAGACACCATCTATGTTTTAGCTCTTACCTATGACAGTGCAAGACTCTGGTGGTACTTTGGCTGTTACTTTTGTTTGCCCACACTTTTCACCATCACCTGCTCTTTAGTGACTGCAAGGAAAATCCGCAAAGCTGAGAAAGCCTGTACGCGAGGGAATAAACGACAGATTCAGCTAGAAAGCCAGATGAACTGTACAGTAGTGGCTCTGACCATTTTATATGGATTTTGCATTATTCCTGAAAATATCTGCAATATTGTTACTGCCTACATGGCGACAGGGGTTTCTCAGCAGACAATGGACCTGCTTTATATCATCAGCCAGTTCCTTTTGTTCTTTAAGTCCTGTGTTACCCCTGTCCTCCTTTTCTGTCTTTGCAAACCCTTCAGTCGGGCTTTTATGGAGTGCTGTTGCTGTTGCTGTGATGAGTGCATTCAGAAGTCTTCAACAGTGACCAGCGATGACAATGACAACGAATATACCACAGAACTTGAACTCTCACCTTTTAGTACCATACGCCGCGAAATGTCCACTTTTGCTTCTGTTGGAACTCATTGCTGAAAGACAGCCTTTTGTTGGTTACATTTACTTGTTTGATTTTCATATCCTGTGAAAGTTTTTACTTCATATTTTTCCCTCCTGGGAAAAAATGCAGCAAAAGAGAGAAATATTAACTACTGTAGAACTGATTTTGCAAATTAATATTTGTGCTTTGAAAAAAATGTTTATATTTAGTTATTTAAGAAATATGAGGAGGCCAATAGTTTTAGGTCATTTTATTTGGTATGGTGCTAATATTTTATTTGAAAAAAGTTACTGCACCTTAATTGCTAACTTTCTTTCTTTTAAAAATATAATCAGTGTATATTGATTATAGCCATGTGATTTTGTAGGTTATTTTGAGTTGTGATTGAAAGTATATTGTATATGTTATCGTGAGATGATTTGTAGTTAAAGAACCATTCACAAAGTAGCGCCAAATAAATTATACTTTATTCTTTAATATCATTGTCAATCTACTTTTAACCAAGAGTCAATAAATCTTTTAATTGCCTTAAATACACAATTACTGGTTCTACGCACAATTTAAAATCAGCTTTATTGCTTTAAAATTCTATTTTCCTTTAAGGCAGGTAATCACCATGTTATAAAGCAGTTTCTAACAGTACTATTTTATATGCATGATTCATATAAAACTATATTGTATGTTCAGACAAAATTATATTTTTAATATTCAGATACAGATGTAAAATTACTTCCAAATATTTATAAAATATGAATAAATAGATAGCAGAGTAGGAAGAAAGTATCTTTTTTTGGTTATTTATCTCTGAACCAGCATGTAGAGCCACAGGTTTTCCCAATACAAATTATGAGCAAAATCAAGGATAAAACACAATGCACTTGTCATCTAATTTCCTCTGAATGTTGACCTTTAAAGCACTCTGAATTCTAACTTTTCTCCATTTAAAAAATGAACTTGGTTAAATCTGTGTGATTTAATTTCTTTAAGTAGAATGAAAGTACAATAGTGGAATAATAACATATTTATATATCTTGATTAGAACACTTGAATATTCAACCATGTTTAAATTGATATTCCATAAGCTTCCAACAAAAAACTAACCTTCTCCATTTGAATTATTTGATTCTTTCCAGGAGTTTAAGTTCTCACAGTCGTGTAGGATGTCTGCCTGTAAGGTTTGAGAATGAAAACAAGGCACTGTTGTCTTCTCGCAGATCCCTGTAATAGGTCTTTGGAAAACGTCTCCAGGATGCCTACACTAGGTTTTGGCTGCTGAGCAGATTCAGTAATTGTGATTACACAGTGTCTCTCATGATATTTAGTCAACTTTATAAATCAAGAAACACTGATTGAGCACATGATAAAGAAAATGTTCTGTGCTATTATCTGTAGTAAATAAAGGTAACCAGAGCTTAGTGTCAGACTTTACAAAACTAGGCAGGAGTGGGATGACAAAGCAGGAATAAAACAAATGTGTAAACAACAATGGTGTAAGCTGGGACATTAGGGAGGTGTGATGTTCCATGATTGGTCAGAGAAGAGAAAACGAGCCCACCAGATTAGAGGAGATCATGCAAGGCTGTAAGATAACTGGATGGGTAGTCCATCAGAAAGTTAATAGAAGGTAGGTAGTGTGAGAAGTGGACATTCCACGAAGAGGGAGCCAATTAAACAAAAGAATAGAAGGAGGGCTTATCAGGTGTGACTGAAAAATAAAGAGTCCAATTTGGTTTCTGTTCTGTGTGGGCATAGAAGCCTCACGGAATATGCTGATGAAAATATGCATCGAGACCATTTTATAAAAGGGTCATGTTTTGAAAGATGTTTAGATGGAGTCCTTCAAGCAATGTGGGTTGGCTTTTATGGTTTTTGAGCATTGGGGAAACATCATCGTATCTCCGTAGTAGGAAGATCAATCTGAAAACTGTTTAAACAGGCTATTGGGAAGAGGCTGAAAGTGAAAAACCAGTAAGAAGCTATTACAAAGGTTAACCACAATGAAGGCAGTTAGGACTAAATTTTCTTTTATCCTTGACTTTTGACTTTTCAGTAGTTGAAACACATACCTTCTTATTGAATCCTATTTCTGTCAAAGTAGAAACTTTGATAACTCCAGTGAAGTTTTCCTTTTTTTTTTATTTTTATTTTATTTTTTTTTCAGTGTTTTCCTAAGTGTAAAGTGGTTTGGGAGTTTTCTCCACAGCTTTGCTCATTGTTTTCTCACAAGAATTCCTACAGCATATATATATATATATTTTGTTGACCTGTTTGCTCTACTTCTTTCTAATCCAGAGTCTGTCCGATGTTTTCCCCTCTTCAAAGTTTCCTTAAAAAGAGAAACTCAGGGATCCCTGGGTGGCGCAGCGGTTTGCCGCCTGCCTTTGGCCCAGGGCGCGATCCTGGAGACCCGGGATCGAATCCCACGTCGGGCTCCCGGTGCATGGAGCCTGCTTCTCCCTCTGCCTGTCTCTCTCTCTCTCTCTCTCTCTCTCTGTGTGACTATCATAAATAAATAAAAATTAAAAACAAAAAGAGAAACTCACACCCTAGATTAAGTCTACTAGCATTCTGATTGGTCAGAAATCTCTACAGATGGTGTTTGAGCTACTGAACCAAATCACTTCTGTGGTTTCAGGATAGTCAGTGAAACTGTTTTTAAAAATATTCTACATCTATGCCTATGTGTGTACATATATCTGATATATAATTTCATATTATAATCAACTTAGCATTTCTTTGATGATTCACAATTCTGAAATCTTCAAATTTATGATTTCAAAAATCAACTCATTTATATTCAACTCAAAGAACTTTTATTAAACTTCTTTGCACCTGGTGCAAGGGTGGGCAGTTAGAACACAGAACTAAGTTTTCTTAATCTTAAGGTTCCTGCCATCAAGTAGTTTATTTGCTGAAAGGGGCATATTTGTAAGCAAAAAAAAAAAAAAAAAATTAGTGGGATAAGTGCAGCCTGCATGAAACATGGAGTGGATGTTGGGAAGCTGAAGGTGAATTGACTCCCTCTGAGGGCTCAATGATTAGAAGGGTGTAGGAATGAAGGCTTCACAAAGGAGAAAGATCAAATGCTTATTGGTCCACATTTTAGATCTAAGTGATTTACATCTGAATCCTTATGAATTTGTGTTTATTCTAAGGAAATGATGATACTTGTTTTTAAAAATATATTCTTAATAATTCTTTTTCCTCATTATTTGCCTTTTTCTCATAAAAGTGGAATTAGAATAAAGGTCCACATCTTTAATAATTATGGTAAGATTGATTTTAGTGTGTTATAGAAAGTGTGCAAGTGATAGTGTAGAGGATTGGTTAAGTAGTGGCTCTTTCATTATATCTCAATTCATTTTTTCAGCCAATAGTGAGTACTACTATAGGTTAAACACTGCTGTGGGTGCATTTGCTATAGAAATTGGATAAAATAAAAGTACAATATATGTATGGTATGTTTGATATTGAAAAGTAACTTGGAGAAAAGGAGTAACAGTATAAGGCAGGGTTATGAAGGTGACACTGGAGGCAAACAAAAAAGATAGCTATGTAGAGGAAGAATAGGCGGTACAAAGGCTCTGAGGCAGGAACACACTTGGTAGGTTTCAGGAATGTAAAGCGGCCAATGTGGCTGGAACAGATTGAGGGAGGAGAAGAGAAGTACCGGATGAGATCAGAAAGCTAAAAGGATGCCAGATGATGTAGGGCCTGGTAAGCTATTGAAATGACTCTGTGTTTATTCCTGGTAAGACTGCAATGAATGGTTTTGGAGAGAGAGAGGGAGGAGTGACATGACACTGTAAACAATTATTCACTTAATTTTAAAATTAATATAAAATTTTTATTAAAATATACAGTAAATTCACCCCTTTTAGACTAAAGTCCTGAGCGCATATTATGATGCAACCACTACCGAAAAGTATTGAACAGTTCTATCAGGGATCCCTGGGTGGCGCAGCGGTTTGGCGCCTGCCTTTGGCCCAGGGCGCAATCCTGGAGACCCGGGATCGAATCCCACGTCGGGCTTCCGGTGCATGGAGCCTGCTTCTCCCTCTGCCTGTGTCTCTGCCTCTCTCTCTCCGTGACTATCATAACTAAATAAAAAAAATTAAAAAAAAATTGAACAGTTCTATCATTCTAGAAAATTCCTGCATGTGTCTTTGTAGACAAGTCCTTATTTCAACCCCAGTCCACCTGCTCATCTGTTTTCTGTCCTTATATTTTCCCTTTTGCAGACTGTTCTATAAATGGAATTATGCCATACATAGCCTTTGAGTCTGGCTTTTTTTCACTTAGCATAATATATTGGATATTCACCCGGGTTGTTGTGTGTTTCAGTAGTTTCTTTTTATTGCAAAGTAATATTCCATTGTGTGGATATATCACAGTGTATCCCTTTCTTTCCCAGTTGAGAGACATTTGCAATGTTTCAAGTTTTTGGTGATTATGAATAAAGTCACTATAAATATTGATGTATAGGTTTTTATGTAAACAAGTTTTTGTGTCTCTGTTAAACAGCTAGGAGAAGAAATCTGGGGTCACTTGGTAAGTCAATTTTTTAACTATGAGAAACAACCGTTTGCCAAAGTTGCTGTACCATTCCACCCTCTCACCAGAGAGCTCCACTTTCTCCATATTATCAATACTTGCTATTGCCAGTTTTAATTTTATTTTAGCCATTCAAATAGGTGCATTGCAGTGCCTGTGGTTTTTGCACTTCTCTAGTGAATTTTATTTTTAAAAAGGATTAACCAACAAAAATCAAGTTTATTTTTTTTTACTCCATGTGGAGTCACAAATTAACAGTTTCTGGACTTACTTTATTTTTTCTCTATTTTGAAAATAAGTTACAGATAGTAGTGATGTTTCACCTATAAACGTTTCATCTTGTATCTCCTAAGAACAAGAACATTCTCCTGCTGAACTCAGTATCATTATTAGAACCTAGAGTTAAATGTTAGAAACACTCATATTTCCTCATATGCAATACATTTTCAAGTTTCCCAAATTTATCTGCAATAATGTCCTTTATAAGAGTTTCCTTATAGATCTTCCTTCCTACCCGCCCCCCCCCCCGCCCACTTCTTTCTTGGTTCTTTCTACATTTGGAACATTATTGTCCTCTTGGGTGGGGGTTCCTAAAAACAAAAGCAGAGAAGGATTTAAGTGCCAGTGACTTATCTGTTTCTTCTTTCCTGTTTTTGAGGAATATTAGTCTATAGTTTGTATGTTTTTCCTTATGATATCTTTGGTTTTATTATCTGAGTAATACTGGCTTCAAAGAGTGAACTGGAAATATTCCATTCTTAACTTTATGAAAGAACTTTTGAGGAGTTGCTGTTTTTCTTCTCATATATTCAATAGAACTCATGAGCAAAGCCATCTTGGTTGGGGCTTTCAATTGTGGGGAGATTTTAAATTACTGATTCATTTTCATGGTGTGTATGGCAATGATTATATTTGAATCCTTTACCTCTCCGAGTCTTACAGACTTTATTCATATAAGGATTTCTGTTTCAGACTGAATATTTCACACTCAGAAAGTTCCCTGATTCTGTAAAAAGTCTTGGGTCTTTATCACATGAGACACTCTTTTCCAAGTTAATTCTGAGCCATAGGATCAGAACCTAAGTCTATGGTGAACTAAGCATCCAAGTGGTTCTATTGGGGACCTCATTTCAATAAAACTTGCCTTAGATGTTCTAAAAACTGTGATGAGTCTTCGTTTGTTCATTTTAGCCTTTTCACAATTTCTAACAACATGTGATTAATTTATAATTATATGAATATTCTCTCCTGTTTGATAATCCTAGGGAACCATAATATTGAATAGATGAATTAGTACATATATGGAACAGTGTCTTTCATAGAGTAAACACTCACTGAATATTGGCCACTATTATTATATCAATGCCATCAATATTATTATGTACCACAGTTATGTACCAGCACTATGAACTTCAAAAGAAACACATTTAGTGAGTACTACTCATACTCACCCAAAATGTTCCATTTTAGGACTATCTAGATTAAGACATGGCCTGACACTACAGAAGATGCCATTATCATCAGATATTCAAAACACAAACTTACACTCCTGAAGACTAGTCCGTACTCCTAAAGCAAGCAGTTATACAGCCTTATGTCTTTGGCATGCGGCATATCTTGTATTTAAGGGAGAGGCCCTACCCTCCCTCCATACTTCACTCTTCTCCCCTGTAATCATACCTAGTCCTGAAAATCATTCCTAGTCCCTGGAAAATATTTCGCAGGGAGCTTGGTTCCTTTAAGAAACATTTAAGATACTCCTATTCGAGAAACATTTAAGAAACATTTAAGATACTCCTCTTCAAGAACTTACTTCTCCAAACTTTGCCTTTCATTTTGAGGAACGTTGGGCTTTGGGGGTGCCTGGGTGACTTGTCGGTTTAGTGTTGCTTTCAGCTTGGGTCTGATCACAGGATCTTGGGATCGGCCCCACGTTGGGCTCTCTGCTTAGCGGGGGAACGTAGTTCTCCCTTTCCCTCTGCCCTGATGCTCCTCTGATCGTGCTTTGGCCTCACTCTCTGTCAATAAAAAATAATAATAATATAAAGAGTTTTCTCTTTTTTTTTCAAGTCTTCAAGGATTCTCTAAGATCAACAGGTTAAAAGCTTCTTCTTGATCATTGGATTTCATCTCACATTTTAAAGTTACTCATTACTTATGTTCGTTTGTTGGTTCGGCTTTCTATGTTGTCTTTCTAGGAAGCTATTCCAACATATCTGATTATGGCTGGGAACATTTTCATAAAGAGGAACAAAAAAACATGTTAAAGTTTCTACAATTTCACAATCATGTTTTTTGAGTATTCCTTCCTCCTTTTTCCCACAAATTTAGATATTTTGGTTTATTTCTATGTCTATTTGTATGCTAGCAGCACTTAAATGC